AAAACCCACTGATGTCAGGCTGTGATGGAGGTGGACAAAGGTGGGCATGTACCTTAAAGAAGGGTTTAAGCAACACAGTGCTATTAGGATTATAGGTAGGGGTAGAATACACAGGTACATTTAATGAAAAACTGTACACACACACACACACACACACACACACACATATATATATATGTATATATATTCATATATATATATATTTTTTATATATTTATTTATTCACTTACTAGAATAATTTCCATTTATGTGAATGTGGAAGGGGGTAGTCACAAACAAACCCAACACCAGCTGAGGGGCATTGTACCCAAGGAAATATTAGTGTTGGAGCTATTTGTTCTTATTTTTTAATATTTTGAAATTAGTTAAAGTTTGTTGTTAGTTTACTTATATTTTGGGATTTATTTACAAGTTTATTTGTTGGTTAATATTTTGTTTCAATGTTTGTTTGATGTTACTTTGTTAAATTAGTCAGTAAGAGCTGTAGGGCCATTTTGTTTCTATAAATAAAGAGACTGGTATAGGACCAGCATGCACTGGGTTGGGCCTATGGATTTTTACCAGAGCAGGAGAAGCAGCAGGAAGTAACAAAAAATGGATCTTGTTATTGCCAAACTGGATAAAATAAACCATAAAAACGCAACTTTCAAGTTTGGACAGTGGACTTCTTTTGCCTGCGTATGAAATAGTATCTCAGTGCAGCAGTGGCTTGTGGACTTTTAATTGTGGGATGTTTGGTTTGTCAAACAAAAGGAATTGCCACTACAATTAGTGTAATAAACCTTAAATGTCTGTGAAGGTTCTCAGTCATCCAGGTCATTGTAGTCAAAGGTGGTCAAACCTTAATTGTATTACAAATTGGTTGTAAAGGAACAGAGCCTTGTTACTGGAAAGTCAGAGGTGTCGGAGATTAATTTCAGTAGTTTATGTAAGAAATAGAAGAACTGTTAACCAACATAAAGTCCATAGAATTACATAAATTAGTTTATTATAATAATATTTCTGTTACCACGGTATTGCCACTAAACTTACAAATCATTGCAACTAACTTTGGCCACTTGGAG